TTTGGCCAAACTCGAAATCGTGGCACGGTCCTGCACGTATTCGGGGGTTGGGTCGTGGATCTGGTTCCCGGCGCAGTCGGGTGCGTTTCTACCTTCAGAAGTCGTGGTCACGCCCCAGCGCTGTTCGTATTTGGAGTGCCAATCGTGCTTTCGCCAGCGTGCTTTGCACTTCTTTCGGTGTGACTCATGTGTGGTCTTTCACCGTTTGAGGTGTGCCGCTGCTACAATAAGAGATGTTCTTGGTTTCGACCTTCAGCACTGGTAGCAAGGCATGCCCTCATTAAAAAGATTTTGCAGATGGGACCACGATGATTTCTGAAGCCCCGACATGTCCGCTTGGTCTTCGGGGATCACGAATACAACACAGAGAAATTTTTGAGAAGAGCATCACAGAGGAATGGTTTTCCATATTTAGTACTTGATCTCAGGCAGGTGTTCCATAGCAGCATGCTTCAGTCGATGTTGCCGACTCACGCACCCCCTGACTCAGAGGAAGTTGTGCTGAAGCTAAGGGTCACATGTCTGCATGGCTATCCCACAACTCACGCGAAGATTGAAGATGTTGACCATGTTCTCTGCATGATGGGCATGATGGTCTTTTCTTCGTGATCAGTTTCCTGATACAACACGGATACGGAGGACGCCTGAACAGTATTAAAAACGGCAAGATCCAGGCGGCTCCTGATTCGAAGCCCCAAACCCTAGGCTTTAAGCCCGAACCTTGCAAAGACCTAGCTCGAAGCCATGATCTCACGGGCCGCCCAAAGTGGAAAGCTTTCGCCAAGCGGAGTTTCAGGTGTCTCTGATGTAGACTCCGTGCAGTATATAGGTCTCGTTGTTCAAGGATGTCAAAGAGGGACTTCTATTAAGCCCTGAAGCCCTAAAGCCCTAAACCCAACAAAGACCAAACCCCAAAACCCCAAACCCTTAAATCCCTGGGTCCGATTTTTTGTTTGTGGTTTGAAGCCTCCAGTAGATGCTCAGGAATGACGGCGTTCCTGGTGGGCCAGGCCGCAAACATCCCAGCCATGGCGCACCTCGGACGTCTGAATCAAGATAGTCATCATCATCATCATCATCATGGCACTTGCAGTTCAAGTCATCATCATCCCAATAGTCCATGCAAGTAGTGGTGGCAAAGATGCTCCGTAATGTTTCATGATGTGGGTACTTTTACTGTAGTTGTCACGACGTTCAACTTGAGGTTGTCCGAACATGGGTTTGCACGGGATTTGGTCATGTCGGCAGTCTAGCTACTAGTTTGATAGTGCTTCAAGTTTGCGGGTTGCTTTCGATGGATAGTTGTTCCTAGCATTCCTGTCTTTGCACAGTTCACGTCAAGCTTGGGCAGTTTGGGTGCTTGTTGTGCTGCAGGGCCTTGGGAATGAACGCTCACCAGCTAAGCCACGACCGGGCAGGGCGTTGCAAGGTTCCTGCACATCAGCCCAAGACTGGAGTCCCAGATCCGAACTTACTTCGAGCCTGTTCCAAGCACCCTGCACATGAGGAGGAAGTGGCAACTAATGAGAATGAACCTGGGACGAGCGATGATGATTATGGCTGGTGGTGATGATGATGATGGTGCTAATGGTTAGAATCGTCACGACCATGACCATGATGATGCTGATGATGATGGAGCATCAGGTTCGTGACACCGCTATCACCCTCATCCCTCTCGTCAGCATCATCGTCATCGTGATCACCACCATCCAGTTTCCTTAGCACCACGGTCGACAGATATGAACAGCGTCACCATCATCATCATCACCACCACCACCACCGCAGCACAGGCATCGTCACCATCATCACCATCATCATCATCATCATCACCATCATCATCATCATCACCACTACCAACAACAACGTCATCATCATCACCATCATCATCATCGTCGTCGTCGTTGTGCCCCATCATTGTCATCAACATTATGATTAATGCCTTGGTCATGTCCTTAGTTACTTTGTTGGTTTCTTCCTATGTAATTTTGCGAGCTCTTTGTGCCAGGCTCACGCCTCAAACTATGCTTAGCTGCCTGGGAGGGCTCTCCCTGGTGATTCCGGCTCGCTTGCTGTCTCCTTGGGTATGCGTTTATGTAGGAATGTAGGACGTCGGCTTTGGGGCTAGGGTTTAAGTTGCCCAGGCACCGAGCGCTGTTGTTTCAGCATGAACCCTCGCATCTCCACTTCAGAGCTTCCCCGGGCTCCACCAGGTGTTCAACTCCACCTACGCTGCTTGGATGAGCGATTTTTGGCTTTCAGTGCTTCGGGATCCCGTTTGTTAAAAGGTCTCCCAGTCCTGGAAGTGTTAAAGACAGTTAAAGACAACCAGAACACCTCAATACAGATCTCAAAGGAGCACCTTACCTTGCTTATCCCGGAAAGAGTACGACGGTACGAAGGCCTTGTGTGTCCACGAACTGTTTCAAACCCTAAACCACTTAAACCAAGATACAAACGCGAAGCCCGAAACCCCCAAATCCTAAACCCTAGACCCCTGAACCCTAAGCCTCAACCCTTATAGCAACCCCTAATTAAAACCAAACCCCCTTAAACCCGAGATAGAGATCTGAGGCTCACTTCCTATTGGGCGAGCGTGTTCGGGCACCCGAGGTAAGCCGGAGAGCCTAGCGCGTGCGGTCCAAGCAGGTCATAGTGTAGATCGTTCTGCTGTACCTTCGGAATTTCGCAGGTGTGTAGCAGACATTCTTCCTCTCGCTATGTAGATCATATGTTTAATCCTTTCTGAGTGTGGGGTTGTTTTGGGTTCGCGGTTTAGGGTTGAGTCTCGGGTATACAAGAAGCTCGGTCTGGACGCTTGCTTTGCTCGGTAGTTCGAAACCCTGGACCTTCATCCAAGGCAGGCTGCCCTCCCAAGTTGGAAGTACATGTCTGTTCCGAAGTTCGAGTATTCGGGGTGAATCCAGGTCTCCAGCCACTGTTAGGTGAGTAGGGGGGCGCAAGCATCGCCGGTTGAACAGAAGTCGTCTACAGTTATTGCTGTCTTCATGTTTGGATATCACTGTTTGTTGTTCTCAGCGTGACTCCTTCTTGTCAATACAATGATCTTCATTACGGCGGCTCTTGGATTCGATGATGATTAGTGACTACTTTAGTGTTTGTTGCTGGACCCCCGTTGGAACTTGAAGGTGCTGGTCATGGTGGCCATGATCACGGGTGCAGCGCTCGTTGCACGGATCTGAGCTGCACCCCTGCATCCCTAATTAAATTACAAACAGTGCTCCGTAGTCCCAGTCAGCGTCGACACCTGCATGCTTCACGGAAAACCAGTGAAACATCATCGGACCCGTCTCTGTCGCGACTACGATAGCTGGAACGCTCAGGTTTCCGTGACTCCAGTGTCTCATCAGCGATATGTCACAGCTGGACAAATCTTCGGATATGTGTTGCACAAAACGTGGCTCGGCAGGTTTAGTACTCTGCACGGTTCGCCTTGCTGTCCGCCTGTTCGCAGGTTTGTCTGTGGCCTTCTTAGACCGAATTTGTCCTAAGCTGGCTGTCCGTGGTCGGCAGACGCCACCATCTAAGACGCGTGTCCTCACTGTTGCGGGTCAGGGTACGGCACAGTTGTGGATGTGTTCGCTGTTCAAGCGATGCATCTGCTGTTGAGGCCATTGCTTTTGTCGGACTGTCACTTTGCTAGAAGCTGTGGCTGATGATGAGGGTGGTGATATTGATGTTGATGATGCCGGTTGCGGTGTTCGTGAAGACGTGTTGTTCATGCTGATAGTGCTCAAGAGGCGGCAGGGCGACCATGATGACGAGGATGCGGATCCGGGATGATGGGCGCACTGTCGTACAAGAAATACAGTAGTCTCTTGTTGTTTCTGCTAAAACGACGGTTGCTGTGAGTGCCACCGCCAAGGATGCTACCGCTATACAGCTACACCACTCTGCACTTCTGCCAGCGCTGACCTGCTTCACATCGTTGTTTTCGCCTCGCCGTGCTTGACATGTCATACAGAGATTTTTAGAGGGGTTAAGGGGTTAAGGCCCCCAACCCCCTCCCCTCTCACCCCTAAGGCCCTAAGGGTCCTTATGACCGTATGCCTTGGAGTAGAAGGGGGCAGGCAAAGCAAGATATCATAAGATACTTCCCTGTAATATAGCATAATATAATCCATAACATAGTATACTTACTATTAGAGCCGATTTCCAAACTCCAAGCCCAAGGCCCTGGAGCTTGAACCCCAAACTCGAAAAGTACAGAAACCTCTTTAAAGCCAGCTTAGGTTTCTGCTGACGGCTTTAGCTGTCACCGCCGCATGTCTGCAGTATTGAGCTTCACGGTAAATGTGGTCAAAACTTCAGCTGCTGGGCGGAGGATAGCAGGGCTTGATGTTTGAGGGCATGATCTAGAGCTGTCGGATGAAGGACTTACAAAATACTTACGACTTCGGGTTGTCACCCTGCTCTTACCGTAGCCCATCCGAGACAGGCTTTCATGATAGCCAGGACTTGGGTTCGCGGATTTTGGGTTGCTGGCGTGATTGAATAGCTAGGGAGTCTCACCAGATGGATGAGGCCTGCATGGTTGCACTGGTTTTGAGGTGCACCTCTGTACCGGTCTTGTGATACTGAAATTCGCATGGCATAGCCCGACGGCGCTAAAACTCCCAAGCCCACGAAGTCCGGCTTTTCTGCAGCTCCTGCGCCCTGGAGATTTGGGGCTGGGTGCTTCCCTGGAATCAGGTTTGAACTGTTTAGCCGTCTGATGCGTTGTCATGGGCTTCATGGCCAGGCGGCTTGGTCTAACAATGAATCTGAAGAACTGCCCTAAATCCAGCACTCTGGAGCCCTCCACCCAAACCGAAGCCTTGAGACCTGTTCCTTGAAACCTCATGCCCGGAGCTTCCTTTCTGTGAAGATTTCCAGCTACAGGCCCCTGTCTTTCCGTGGGAAGCATCTTGTGTGTCTGAGTGCGGTGTTTCGGGTTTTGAGTTATGTAAGTTATGGGAAGCTTCAGTGAAGCTCTCGATGAGGTCGGGCTTACAATGCTGGGCATTGTGGCTTCTGTTGTAGCGCCAGTCGCTACGCTGGCACTAAGGGCCCTGTTTAGGCGTGTTCAATAGTTTACATTAAAGGGTGAGGGGTCGGAACGATGGTTCGTTGTCTTCAGTATTATGCCTTCAGAACTTCAACCTTAAAATCGTGGGGTGTGGTCTCGAATTCGGGGCTGGGATCTGAGGGTCGCTGTGTGTTGCTGCATCTGCTGTGGTTTCTGTGTTGCCCTTTCACCTTCCATCATCAAGGGTTGATAGGTGTGATTTCTGCAGTGGACCTGTTTCAGAGAGAGCTAGGCACCTGACTTTGGTGATACGTTTGAGCTTCACACGATTTGAGCCCTGTGGCAGCGTGAGCTAGTAGTGCCACATGTCGTGTTGGCCGATCTCTCTTTGTCGGAACGGAATGACTTCCTGCAGTGTCTTGCAAAGGTTGCAGAGAACAAGGGTTCAGGAAGTTTAAGGTTTAGTGGGCTGCTGTCAGAGCTTGCGAAAGGGAACTCAACTTATTTAGGAGATTTGTTTTATTTTATGGAATGAAGAGTCGCAAATCAATGGGCTGAAGGGCACAAGCCACTCCGAGGCAAACACAGATCCATTACACCGAGCCCTAAGTCCTGATCCCGAAACCCCAAACCCCCATATTCTTGGAAATATGATACCACTGATTAAGAACCTGCCCTGCAAGTTCCCAGGATTGCCTCTAGAGTGGAAGATCGTTCGTTCAAGTTCCGGGATAGGCGAAAACCGCCCAAATATAGCCCTGTCTGCGTAGTGAGAGCAGCGAATGCTAGCCGAAGAGGTCACGAGTTGAGGTGAAAGGCAAGTACGCGGAGGGCAAGCTGAAGGTACTTCGACTATGCACCATTCACAGAATCAGGATGTCAGAGAAATCATGGTCAAGCCAGCACATGCGGAATGCGCCGTCGCAGCACAAAAAAGCTACACAGACACCACAGCTTCCAAACAAGCACTACAGGTCCATAATTTGCAGGTGCTCGATCTCCGAGGTAACATCTCGTATAGTACCTCGTACGCTCTCCAAGCTCTCGATTATTTACCTCGGTTAAGAGAAGCACGATGCACTGCTTATATGGCTACATGGCTGCCTGTCCCTTCAGGTAGAGCTCGGTATAGTCGACTTGACTTTTCTCGATGCCTGTAACCGGGGCAGGGACAGCGATGATGAGTGTTGTTGTGGCTGCAGATTAATTAATGTAGGGGCCTCAACATGAAGAACAGGGTTTTGGCCTCCTTAATACTATACCTATAATAAGGAACCCTAAGGAATAACGTTGGTAATTATTTAGACCCTGGGGAATAACGTTGGTAATTATTTAGTCTGCTAGATTAACAAGGTGCTGAAGCCCTTCTTCCTGGGGCTGACCTGCGCTGCCTGTGGTAGAATCTCGACTGCACTGGATGGGTTTGTGCTAGGCTTTCTTGGCCCTTTGAGAGCTCGGGATTGGAGCAGTGAAACCAAGAATTAGAAGGCACATAGCTAAGAGCACCGAGGCATTGGGACCTAGCAGTACATATCCAGCACGGCATTTGGTGTGCACCACCTGTGGGTTTTCCCAGCGCCAGTACTGTGAATCGATGTCTGCGTCCGCCAAGAACGATCATCTCTATCTTGTTGTCTCCCACGCATGCCCACCTGCCTGTGTCGCAGTTCGATTTCATGGCATGTCTACTGCAATGTAGCGCGTCGCACTGCACTTCCAGGTACTGAACCATGTACAGTTAGTAGTCGCAGTAGCAGTAACAGCAGAAGCACCAGCACCAGCAGCAGCAGCGGTAGTTGCAGTATGTGTACGTCTTTGTAGGAGCGGTAGCAGTGGCAGTAGTAGAAGAAGCAGCGGTAGCAGTGGTAGTAGTGGTAGCAGTGGTAGTAGTAGCAACCAGAAGTGTGAAGCAGACATTTGTGTGTGTGTGTTCTGGTCAAACAGCCTTACAGCTGTGCTTGCAACTTTGGCCAAGATTGCATCATCTGTCCATGTGGTTCAGGGAGATGGCCAGATCCAGTGCTGAGCTCTCACGAACTTTTGCTTGAGCCAACCCTAAACCCTCAACCCTA